GTTCGGTTTCTAAACAAAATTGATTACGCCATGTAAACTAAATAAACAGCGAAATGCATAGGCAACATATTTGATAGAATTAAATTACATACACAGAGTCTCTAAATTTCTGATTCAGTGGTTTTAATGGCAAAGTACGGCTGATGGTTGATGTTAAGCAAGGTTTAATTGTACAAAGAGTCGAAATTTCGGCCAAACAGTAACAGCCTTCTTCGGGACAATGCATAAACAATACATGTTACAATAATACATATAGCGCAAAGTCGCTCTAATTCACGAATACAGTAATGGCCTCGGTGATATCGAATAAAGCCATGCAGTAATCACACAACTTGTTCTTATTCAATGAGATGTGCAGCGATTCCCTGAATAGCATTTTCGCCTTGTAGTCTTTTAGGTCAACTATTGAAACATTAAGTTCTGCTAGAAGGTGACCATGTTCTACAGCACAAGCAGCAAAACTGGAGCGTTCTGGGTGACTGTTCGCAATAGCCTGCTTGTGTTCACATATTCAAACTTTCAAAGCTTTCAAAGTTCTATTCCATTCAATTTAATAGTTGTGAACGAAGTTACATTTGGAAGACTTTTAGAACTTTGAAAGTTTGACAGGTGAACACAGATAGGCTATTGGGAACAGTCATCCAGAGCACCAAAGTTTCGTTGCTCCTGCTCTGGAACATGGCCCCCATCTAGCAGAACATAATGTTGCAATAGTTGATTATGAAGACGACGGCGCGAAACTAGTGTTCAAGGAATCACTGCACAACTCATCGAATAAGAACAAGTTGTGTGATTACTGCATAGCTTTATTCGACATCGCCTAAGCCACCAATGTATCCGTGAATTAAAGCTATGTACTACTATAACACTACTGTTTATGCATTGTCTCGAAGAAAGTCATTGTTGTGTAGCCGAAAAGTGGACTAAGGTGCAATAAAGCCTGGAAATAAAGCCCATCGACCTTCAGTTTTCCTTTGTGCTCAAAACCACTCAATCAGAAATTTGAAGACTTTACGTGTTCATAGTAGGCACAGAATCAGAATTAATTTCCGAAATTTTCTGACATAAATTTCGTCCCTTTCAAATGCAGCTACCTAGTAATCTGCAGCCGTTAAAAAGTGCAGAAGATCACACTGAGTGCTACGGTAATAAACCTGCTTAATCAATCACGACTACGATTAGTGTTTTTTGCGTGAGATAATCAAATTTTGACAAAAGCCAGGTTTTACTTTCACGTAGTTTCACAGCAACAAGGAAGGCATTACCTTGCAAGTGGTTATTTTCTCAACTTCCAAAGCATAATCGATTAATGGCGTAGCCGGGAAGTTCGTTTTGGTATACTCCAGCAGAATCTTCACTCGCATGTCCGGATTATTTAGCTAAAAAAGCACAAAATGAGCATCGATCTATGTAAAGTCAAACCATGAAATTACCGACTTCACTCGATGTCCAATTCCCATAATGAGCTGACCTTCCTTCCTCATTTTGTTAACGAACTGCATCGGTATCAAACCAGTGTCATAAGCGGTGGAGAACTGTTTGGCAGCCCCGTCAAGCGCACCGCCAAAACGATCACCCTATCAATAAAAAGAGTTTGTGTACAAATAGCAAAGACAAAGCAAAATCTAAGTTACGATGGTCAACAAGCCAGATGCTAGCGAAGATATCAAGTCCTTGCCGGCGCGAGCACAAACGATCGTGTTATGAGCACCGGAAACGGCAGGACCGTGGTCAGCGGTAACTATTAAGCACATTTCGATGAACTTACAGGCGTAATTTGGAAGTCTGCAAATAAGAAGTAAAAACAATCTAGCATAGCGAAAAACAAATGGACCGAGTATTAAAAGTCACCTCTTCTGAAACCATAATAGACTGATAACGCCACCAATTCCAAGTTCTTCCTTGAAAATCTTCGTGATTGGCATACCGGCATACAACAGCTCACTTCCGCGCTCATCGCATATTGACGTCATAAATGAAGCAGGCTTGCGTATCAGTCCTAGTTCCTGCATAAATGAAAATTATGTTAACTATAGTGCCATTAAAGTCTTTAATGGTACAATTACAAGACAAAGATTAAAATTAGAACTGTTCAATAACTAGTGATATAAAAAACAAATTACGTGACGTTTCCTAACGACAAAATAAAAAAAGGCTTTTTTAAAAACTTCCATGACCTATTAAGTCTCTAATCGTTTTATACGTAATCATTGAAATAAATTGGCTATTGCTATAACTTTAGAACAAGTCGTCTCATATCAGTAGGTCATTGTATAGGCAGTAGAGCAGTGATAAATTTTCTACAAAAAACTTCGAATATGATACCACTCAAAAAATAATGGAGGAGAGGAACCATGGTGCAATAGATGATGTTGCACAAAGGTGATCATAATAAAAAATGATTGTTGTTGGTCTTCCGCTTAAATGTCTTAAGTACGCGAACGACATTGGTATATTTGGAATCAATGAAATCACCGGAAACCCAGAAAAATACAAGAATGACATGCCAGTATTTCTCCACTAAAGGACTTTTATTCAACGCATCATGGATCTCTCATCACATAACCAACTTCTACATAACGGTCTAGTCACCACATGTGAAACTATCAATACGTATATGTCATTTTGTCGTCTGGCTTTACATAGCATGCACCGTGCAGGCACATGTGACCAGGTGCTGTATAGCCTCACTTTCTCCATAGTGTCCGACAAACCTTCGTGCACTACATGATGCCACTAGAAAATTTTTCTTTGCGTGTATTCTACTACTTTATACATATGCATGAGCAGTCATCTTTCCAAGCCTGATGACATGTAACTTCGAGGCGCTACGGCGATCACTGACAAAGTCTCCAGAATAAGTAACCTTTCATACAATAATTCACTAAGCCAGGAATTTGATTTAGCAGTCTCTCACTGTACTCACATGGATAACGATATCTTAGATAATAACATTCATCCACTGCAAGATGGACTCTCGTAATTTCTGTCGCCAATTTCATTATTTAGACCTAAGAATGCCAGTATTTTTCCCTGAACAGAACTGCATTGAAGTCCTACAATCTTAGTTCTGAGCGCATTCTACGAAGTTCCAGCGACGTTAAACAACAATACTTGAAAATTAGCTTAATGCGGCATAGCCTTCTTCTACTTTATCTGTCATTTTTGATTCGAGGTTCTGTACCGGTTTTACCGGTGGTTCCTTTGATTACTGATATCATCTTTTTAGCTCTAAATGTGCAAAAACAACTCGTTGTGCGACTTGTAACAGATTTTATGCTTTTTTATTTTTCTTTGCTGAAAAATGCCATTCTTTAGTATTTAAGTAGTAAACTTACATTCATTCCCTGATTTTAAACAAGCATAAAAGATTCTAGATTTCAGCTTCACATGCATAAAGGTTGTTATAGTAATATCTAACGCATTAACATGTGATAATGACAGAAATTAGTATAATAACAGGTATCAGTGCAGAAAAAAGCATATGAATCAACTGCAAGTATGTTCCTTAAGGAAAATGGAAATAAGTTCAAGAAAGCTCCAAATAATTACTATTCCCAACGACTTTAAGAAACTGCAAACAATGATTAGTATATCGCATATGCAAAATTGCCGATAATGATTCAGATTCTTACTCGAGCCCAGTTATAATCCATTGGGACTGGCGGTGGCGGTTTTTCCTCCACCGTAACAATTTCATCGTTGTTCTTGAGGTCAAGGTATTTCATTCTGCAGTAATTACAAATAACATAATGAAAATAAAATTTTACCTAAAGGACTGCAAACCGGATCATCTCTGGAAGTCCGTCGAAACTGTCAGGAACAAGGGCACCCGCTTCGCGTAACGCTTGATTTTTCCGCACCGCAGTTTCGATGTCTTTGCTAGCGCACGCACCAGCATGACCGAACTGGACCTGAACTGTCTGCTTTTAATTTCTGTGCAGAAATGCAAGAAAAGAAAAGTACAAAATAGTACGAAAAAATGAAAGAACTCAGTGATGACAAATTAAAGGTGATAGGCTATTCCACTCGTTAATTTCCAAAACTTGTTGTATTCAGGGTGAAGAACAGCCCCATTTTCAATGTTCCTAGCCATCCGCGCATCAGATAATTTCCAGTATCTGGATTCCAAAGTCAAACGATAATAGTTACATTAAAAACCGCATCTGTGAAACAGAGTTCATCTAGAAAAATCACATCCCTCGGT